CCCCCCAGGCATTCCAGCTGCAACACACTATGGCAGCATTTATCTTGGGATACTGCATATGCTCTGGGGTATTGCTGCTTACAAGGATTTAGAGGATGACGCCACTGGGGAGTTGAGAAGAACAGGTGACTGCACTGTCAAAACTAGATAAGACATGTGGAGGTAACAATAGCTCCAGTGGTGTTCCCCATCCTGCATCCTTTCCAGCCTCCAGAACATTGACCCAGTGAAGGATATGAAGCATCCCTGCTTGTGCTTACTGGATCACATGGCAGTGGTCCCGTGTTCCCTGCCTATGACAGCATGGTCCAGTGACACAAACACATTACATTCCACATTATTATTATTATTATTATTATTATTATTATTATTATCATACAGATGTATACTGTATAGCAGCAACAGCTTGCACAGCGCTTTAGAAAATAAAGGGCGTTGTTACAGTTACAATTTAAGACAAGAGGGTTAGGCGGGCCCTGCTTATGAGAATTTACAATCTAAAAGGGATGGGCGAGTGATACAAAAGCTAGGGATTGTGTTGGGATGAGTTGTTTGAGAAAGTAAAATTTCAGTTGTTAGTTAAAGGCTGGATAGGCTTCCCTGGAGAGATGGTTTTCAGGGATCACCCAAAGGCAGACCGAGTACAAAATAGCTGTATAGGTTGGGGTAGTGAGTTCCAGAGGATTGGAGGGACTCTAGAGGAGTCCAGGAGGTGAGCATGGGAAGTGTTGACAGGGGAGCTAGAGAGCAGGTTTTGGGAGGAGCAAAGACGACAGTTTGGGCAATATCTTGAGATAAGGTTGATGATGTATCAGGGAGCAGAGTTGTATGGTGTTGTTAGTATTTTTAATTTTATTATCTGGGTGATCAGAAGCCAGTGAAGGGACTGGCAGACAGGGTCTGCAGTCCCTGAATGGTTGGTAAGCTGAATGTGTCTGGCAGCAGAATTCATGATAGACTGAAGGGGGGATAGCCTGTGGAGAGGTAGGCCAATAAGAAGGGAGTTGCAATAGTCAAGGCAAGAGTTAACAAGTGAGTGAATTAGTACCAAAATTTGGAGAGTGATTGGATGTAGAGCTGAAAAGAGAAGTCAGTGACCATTACACCTAGCGTGAGGGGAAGAAAGGATAGTTGTGCTGTTGATCGCAAATTGAAAAGTCGGATGAGAGGGCACGGAGGGGATTGACTTTTAAGAAGTGATGTGACATCCATACTGATATGTCAGTTAGTAAATTAGTGATGTGCAAAAAAACACTAAACACCAAAGCACTAAACATCAACTCTCTTTTAAATTAGAAAAAATTGAAATAAATGCAAAAAGTGAAATAAAAGAGAATAAAAACCACACGACTAGTTTATGCTGACACACAAATAAACGACTGTTAGGTCTCTAGGCGGGCGGGGTACCCAAAAATATATAGCCAGCCACAATACAATCCACAGTAACTTAGAGCAATAGCATAGGACTGTATAGCAACTGTCCCTACACATTAGCTCTCCCTAATCTTTATCTGGTTCTGATAAAATGTTGTCAAGTGATAATGACCATAAACACTCCCAGAACCGTGAACCTTGAATACCCCAGTTTTGCTGTGAACCAACTGTGTGGTGAATCCGAACCTCATCCCTAATCTTGCTTAGTACAGCAGATTTGTTACAAAAGAAATAATATTGTACTGTAAAGGAACTGTTTGGTACTGTATCATTTAATGTATGATATTTGAATACATGACATTTTATTACAGTTGGAGTTTGTTTACTTATTGAAAATTGATAAACAATAATAAAAACAAATGTAACATGCACCAGTTTGTATTTGAGTAATTAGGTTTTTTTATATTTTTGGGACTGTAACAAAGAGTTTCTTGGTTTCATACGCAGTTAGTCATCATAACCAATAAGTCCAACCAGGGCAGTTTCATAATTTCCACTGGTTTCTGTCTACAAGTCAAAGAAAAATATAAATTTAATATCACATTCAAAATACAAATAGCAGTATTGTCAATGGTAGAGTTATGAAATGGTAAAAATACATTTCTCTATTACTTAAAACACAAAAATGGAACATTCTAAAGGAGTAGAATGGTAATGTTGAAAGAACTATGTTAGCCCGCTACATAAGAAGGAAGCATGGGTCATACCATACAATCATGTAGTCCAAAAACGTCACCAGCACTCCAGTTTAAACGTGAAAAAAGATCAATTTAATGACACATATTTGTCATACAATGCAAGCGCTTTCAGGGACTTACAGGGTCCCATTCATCAGGTTCAGAGGCCCCGAAAGCACTTGCATTGTATGACAAATATGTGTCATTAAATTGATCTTTTTTCACGTTTAAACTGGAGTGCTGGTGACGTTTTTGGACTACATGTTATTGCACGGTGCCATCCGTGGTCATGTTATTGCACAGTGCCATCCGTGGTCATTTCAAGCACCCACCTGGACCAGACAGGTTTTCATTACTACCCGGTAAGGAGTGCAGCAAGATATATCAATACATACCATACAATCATCACGCATGGAGGTTTTATACAGCTGGTGATACTGAGCTTTAATTGATTTCATGTCAACCTCGGAACGTGATATTATCACCCTGTTCAGGATTTTTTCACGAGTCCCCAAGCCCTGTAAAAAAATGATCTTGATTAATTTAAATAATTTAATGGTTATGCTTATTGATATATTTGTACATTATTTCCATGACAACTAATAATCTCTGACCCCTTCTGGAATCCGCACTGACCCCCCCTGGAGCCCGTACTGAGCCCCCCCAGAGGCAGCACTGACCCCCCTGGAGACTGCACTGACCCCCTGGAGACCACACTGACAGATTGAGAGCCTGCACTGATATCATGGAGCCCGCACTGACTGCCTGAGAGCCGGCACTGACCGCCTGGAGCCCTCACTGACCGCCTGGAGCCCATGCCGACCCCCCTGGAGCCCGCACTGATCCCCTGGAGCCCGCACTGATCCCCTGGAGCCCGCACTGATCCCCTGGAACTTGCACTGACCGCCTGGATCCCTCATTGAGCACCTGGAGCCCATACTGACAACCTGGATCCCTCACTGACTACCTGGATCCCTCACTGACCACCTGAGAGCCCGCAGTGACCGCCTGAGGGCCCACACTGACCGCCTGAGAGCCCACACTGACCACCTGGAGCCCGCACTGACCACCTGGAGCCCGCACTGACCGCCTGAGAGCCCACACTGACCCTCATAGAGCCGCACTGGCCACCTAAGAACCTAAACAGCCTCCTGAGAGCCTGCACAACCTCCCTAAATCCTGCACAGCTCTCTTGAGACCCTGGATACATCAGGTCGCGAACCCGGAGCAATGCAGAGTATGTAGCGTCATATTATTCTGCATTGCTGTGCTTTACAATGTATTGCTGGGATTTGTAGTCATCTATAGCTGATGGTATTATTCTGCAGTGCTTTACAGTGTATTGCTGGGATTTGTAGTCCTCTATAGCTGGTGGTATTCTGCATTGCTCTGTAATGCATTACTGGGATTTGTAGTCCTCTATAGCTGGTAATTTTCTGAATTCCTGTGTAATGTATTACTGAGATTTGTAGTCCTCTATAGTTGGCGGTATTCTGCAATGCTGTATAATGTATTGCTAAGATTTCTAGTCTCTCTACAGCTTGGAGTCAATGGCAGAACTACCAGGGCTGCAGCTGCAACCGGGCCGTGGCGCTCCACCACTGACTCCAAGCTGTAGAGAGACTACAAATCATAGTCTGGACAGGAGGAAGAGGGCCCTGGTGACCGTTGCCATTTGCATAAAAAGGCCCACCTAAAATCCTCAGCACCAGGCCCGTGATGTTCTTAATACGACCCTGCCTAGCAGTAACATCATTATGCAGCAATGTTGCCAACCAGTATTATAAATGTACAGTTCCTTTGCCAAACAAACTTATAGCTGTTCCATAGGATTAAATTACATTGCTCTGCTCTGTTTTCTCCAGCAACAGCAATTAGAAGACTCAGAGGCAGGACAGCACAATATACCAGCAACAGTAAAAGAGTAAGTGGCAGGATCACTCTCTCACACCGCTAAATACCGATGCGTTTACATGGGTGAAAAAATAAGAATTTATGACATGCCATCAAGGTATCCCAACATTTATATTTAAAGATGAATTTACAAAAAAGTAAAGATATTTAAAGATAATCTTACAGGCTATAAATATTTATACAAAATAATATTGTAGATTGCCGATCCAGGGAATTAGATTGTTTTTGTGATCAGGAAGGAATTTGTTCCCTGTGAGAACAAATATAATAATGCTTTTAATGGTTTTGTTAACTTCCCCTCAATCACCTGTGGGTTAAGGGTTCTGCAGATGCAAGGTTTTTACATTTATTTTTGTCTATTAGGTGAATTCAAAGGACTTTTTTCAACCTGACTAACTATGTAACATTTCCTGAACAGAGGGTGCCATGGTGTATTAACACCCAGACATGTTAGGCCTCATAAACACAGCATATGTCAGTGAATTTGCAATGAACAAATGTAATTGAAAGGTAGAATATCTAATGCATCTGTGTGGTTTACTAAATTGATGATGTTTGCAGATCATTATATAGAACTAAGGTTATACAGCTTTACACTACTTTATGGAAATTGCATGTGACATTTCTGAGCAAAATAAAATTAGCTTTAGTGTTACCTTCATTGCAAGTTGCACTTTTTCTGCAAAGTAACCTGGTTTGTTCATAGCATATTTTACTAAAAAAAAAATACAAAAAAAATGTGCATTTACATGTTAAACTCAGTAAGCACATATTTATATAATACTTGATGGTTTATGATGATATTTGTAAGCCAATAAAAGAAAATTGAATTTGGAAGTTCATAATGAATTATATCACTAAATCATAGTCTGGACAGGAGGAAGAGGGCCCTGGTGACCGTTGCCATTTGCATAAAAAGGCCCACCTAAAATCCTCAGCACCAGGCCCGTGATGTTCTTAATACGACCCTGCCTAGCAGTAACATCATTATGCAGCAATGTTGCCAACCAGTATTATAAATGTACAGTTCCTTTGCCAAACAAACTTATAGCTGTTCCATAGGATTAAATTACATTGCTCTGCTCTGTTTTCTCCAGCAACAGCAATTAGAAGACTCAGAGGCAGGACAGCACAATATACCAGCAACAGTAAAAGAGTAAGTGGCAGGATCACTCTCTCACACCGCTAAATACCGATGCGTTTACATGGGTGAAAAAATAAGAATTTATGACATGCCATCAAGGTATCCCAACATTTATATTTAAAGATGAATTTACAAAAAAGTAAAGATATTTAAAGATAATCTTACAGGCTATAAATATTTATACAAAATAATATTGTAGATTGCCGATCCAGGGAATTAGATTGTTTTTGTGATCAGGAAGGAATTTGTTCCCTGTGAGAACAAATATAATAATGCTTTTAATGGTTTTGTTAACTTCCCCTCAATCACCTGTGGGTTAAGGGTTCTGCAGATGCAAGGTTTTTACATTTATTTTTGTCTATTAGGTGAATTCAAAGGACTTTTTTCAACCTGACTAACTATGTAACATTTCCTGAACAGAGGGTGCCATGGTGTATTAACACCCAGACATGTTAGGCCTCATAAACACAGCATATGTCAGTGAATTTGCAATGAACAAATGTAATTGAAAGGTAGAATATCTAATGCATCTGTGTGGTTTACTAAATTGATGATGTTTGCAGATCATTATATAGAACTAAGGTTATACAGCTTTACACTACTTTATGGAAATTGCATGTGACATTTCTGAGCAAAATAAAATTAGCTTTAGTGTTACCTTCATTGCAAGTTGCACTTTTTCTGCAAAGTAACCTGGTTTGTTCATAGCATATTTTACTAAAAAAAAAATACAAAAAAAATGTGCATTTACATGTTAAACTCAGTAAGCACATATTTATATAATACTTGATGGTTTATGATGATATTTGTAAGCCAATAAAAGAAAATTGAATTTGGAAGTTCATAATGAATTATATCACTACACATAGGGATATACACAAGTAAGACACAAAACATAGCTTCTCAGCCAGCGGTGTATCTATCTATTTTGTGGCGTCACTCGAACCTGCCGCCCCCAACAGCAATCGACCCCCCCGCCCGGAAGACTTTCTCCGGCCGCACGTGAATACACTCGTAACGGCAGCCACCAAAAGAAGCACGGAAAGACTCCCTACGGCCGCCCTCAACAGCAACACATACCCCCCCGACCCCCTACTGCCCCCGGGAAGACACTCACTACGGCCGTGCACAGCAAACCCTGCCACCCGGTGCTGATATGCACTCTTAACGTTGATACAGTCACAGAGCTGCAGTGGCCGTCGGCTGCTCTGCAGTCTTCGGGTAAGTACCGCTCTCCACCACCGAACAAAAACGAGCTCCCGGGGTCGCGCTGTATCCCTCTTTCCACACCGTAGAACAAGGCGTTTGACTACGGCCACCCTCCAGCAAGGTGCCGCCCTAGGCAAACGCCTTGTTTGCCTCGCGGTAAATACGCCCCTGTTCTCAGCCATTTGAGACAAGATCCTGGCTATTTAGATAAACTTCTGTCCAAGGGTGTCCATATACTGTATAACCTTTATCAGGGGTCTAGAAATCGGAAATCATAACTAGAAATCATTTTGTATGGGCCCTGTGATTTCTAGTTATGTACCTTGCAGAGACCACCTGAGATGCCAAACAGCCCACCTGAGAGTGACCCTGCACAGCCTGCCATAGACTCTCTATGGTGGGCTCTGCAGGGTCTCAGGTGGGCTGGTCACACCCATGCACACCTCTTACCCGTCAGCCCTGATCCGCTGTCCACCTCCTCCTCCTGCACAGGGCCCCGCCTCCTCTTCCATCGCCAGGCCCTGTCTCCTCTTCCATCGCCGGGCCCTGTCTCCTCTTCCATCGCCGGGCCCCTCTTCATCTGACATCACCTGCCTCGCCTCCTCTTCCGTCGCCGGGCCCTGCCTGCTCCTCCGCTGCCGACGCCCGGCCCAGCATCATC